TTCATTCAATCTTTTGCAAAGAATAAATTGATCATATCATACCTCGCATTGCATTGCATTGTTTTAATAACAGATAATACACAAACATAAATGTTACACCATTGATTGATTGATCCGGTCGAAGCCGAATATATTACAAAGATTTTTTCAAAACAAGCCGTGTTCGCTTGAAGAAAACAAAGACAATAATAATATAACATTAGTCATAACATTAGTATCGGTAATGTGTTAAAATAGTTATGTGAATTACCATTACCGTCACCATTACTAAGTATATTTTTGAATTATATAATTAAATAACACATTTGTTTATCATTTATTCGTTTGATTAGTTTGACTAGTTGAGGAATTATATTTCATTTGATTTAAAATGACCAGTAAATGTCATCCATTGAAGATTATCGAATTCAGGATATATACTATTAAAAAAAAAAAATTTTTAATCTAGTACCCGAAAAAGTTTAATGATTAAAATCAAAAATGGAGGTTACATCCGACCTTGGGAAATAGACAAAAAGATCGTCTAATCATATGAAGGTGTAACTTAGATCTTAATGATATACAGCATACGTCATGATGTGGTGAAACATTGAATGTTCGAAGTGAGAATATACGTTCGTACCGAAGTGAGGATGTACGTTCGTACCGAAGTGAGGATGTACGTACATACGTAAGTATTTTTTTTTTTTTTCTCATTCCCTATTTATCGTTTGAACCCTTTTAGAATTGATATTCTCTTATTTGTTAATGCATTATTCTTTTTGATTTACACTGTTCCAATTTCAGAAAGTTGGCGTTTTATATAAAAGAATGCTTACATGATTGAAATTTCATAGTATAAATAAAATTATTAAGTATATGCGCATATGCGTAATAATAATACAGTAAAATAGTACGTACACAGTAAAATAATCATACGTAGTATAATAATAGTAACACAATAATCATAATAATAATATATATATAGTAACCATAATAATAGCAATGAAATAATAATAAATAGTAATGAAATAATAATAATAGTAATGAAATAATAATAGTAATAATAATAATAGTAATGAAATAATAATAGTAATAATAACG